CACACACACACACACACACGCACGCCGCGACCCTGCGCAAGCGTGCAATCACAAAGTCAAGAAACAGGCCCAGACAATTCCGGACATTTCAACAGCTGCAGGCTGCAAGGAAATTCAACCGAAAGCCCCGGCTGCGTGTGATCGTTGGGTTTTTCTCCAATCGTCAAAGCTGCATAATCTAATGCCGCAACGTTGTACCGGAAGCTTGCGGCAGCCTGCGAGCCTGATGTGCTCCTCGCAGGAACCGTGACGAGGAATCGTTTAAGACGAATCTCTTTAGACGCTATTTAGGGATTCCTGTCTTGTGCTTTAGCTTGGCAGAAGGGTCTTGCTGGGCGCCGTTTGCAAGCCAGCTCATCGATCTGGCTGTTTTCTTGTCACTGGTCTCCTTGTAACATTTGTACAGAAACCGATTTGATCGGAAGCGCGCGCTCATCTAACGCAATTGCAGGAGTATAAGGCTCTCAACATGTGAACCTGAAGACATGCAAAGCTGCACAGCATGGCGACCGTCCCAAACCGAGGCTTGCAGCTTGGCGGCTTCGACGCCACAGATGTTAGCGACTTCGATGGGAAGTTCGAGGCATCGGCGGATTTGGGCATATTGGGCGGGCCTTCGTCTTGCAGTGACTTCTTCCAACTGCTGCAAGTTGAAGGCGGGCCCAGGCCCAAAACGTCGCACCTCAATGAAAGCCAAGCGACCGAAATTATCCGTCAGCACAAACAGCCGACAAACGACTCTGTCACAACTCCAAGAACGCATTGTTGGTTGTGATCGCTCGGTTTCGTAGGTAGAGACCCTGACAAGCCGTGCAGCCACCCTTCCGTGGTGCTTGCAGGCGAAGGGCGTGAAGCCCAACGCTGGAGGCCTCCTCGGCCAGTCACCGGTGCCCAAGGTCGGCCGCACCAGATGCAGACAGGTGGTGGTCGAGTTGCGTTTCGTGCCTGCGGGGTGTGATGATACAGTTATAGCTATAAAACTATATGGAGGTGATGAAGAACTGTCTCATGATTATCACCATGAGTTCTTGGGCCGAAAAATTCAAGTTTTCACGGAGCTTCTGAAATTGCTGAACAGTTGCATTCATTGTTGAAGCATTGAAAGCCCTTCTGAGCATCAAGCCTTAGCCGCGAAAGCACTTCCAATTTGCCTCCACTTTCACAGGTGAAGCCTCCACCACCTCCAAGGCGGCCCAAGGCCCGAGACGGCGAGAAGGGCAACTCTGAACAGCAGGGAACTTTGCTGTGCAGGCTCCCGCAAAGCCCAAGCTTGAGACCTTCGAGCTGCTCGACGGAAGTTAAGACCGTGCTCCGCGAAATGCCAATAATGAGTTCCGTGACCTTGAAGCTGAAGCCCTTGCCTTCAAAGCAGTTGGTGCTGCAGGATGAGGTCATGAAACTGATAAACACCGCATGCCTGCGGTGCCGATGATCATTCGGGCTTCGCTTATCTCTGCGGTGAAGCCTTACGCAGAGCTCTGCGAAGTATTTCGAAACATTGCGATGCAGTTCCATCATTGTCATCTCAGAGCAGATACTCTGCTGAGCTGGAGGCCAGAGATGCCCAAGTACTCGGACAAGTGCGTGACTTTGAAAAAATGGTTTAAATGGCTACTGTAAGGATCCCAAAGGCTTGAAAAGTCCAAAGCCAAGGGCCAAGAAGATGGCTTGCTCGGATGTTCCAGGGGAAGCTTGTGTGTAATCCAAGGCGGGTGCTGCTGTAAGGCTGCATAACCGGTGCATCTAACTGCAATGCTGGAGGCACTTGCATGCGTTGCGGACACACCCAGGTCGGGTATGGTGATCTGTGGAAGAAGGTGCAGGACGCCGAAGCTGTTTCACTGGCGAAGCTGCGGGGCTTTTCTCCAGTTGCGCTTGAGCTTGACCTTAGAAGCGAGGGTCTGACGCCACCTCGAATGCACCAGGCGCAGAACGCGCCTCATGACAGGAAACAACTGTGAATGAGGCTGGAGAGGAGGAGTCGAGTGCAGAGGAGCTGCTGAGATGAAATATGTTAAGAATTAACGTGTCCAATCCACTGAAGTCCTCCAGATTTGCAGATGTTGCCTGTGAGGACTTACGCTTCAGCACTTGCCATGTGAGTGCATTGGAGCCGTCGACACGTTCGGCATAGTTAAGAAAACTACATCTCTCTGCCTCAAAGGGAATATATCGGAATCTTAAACCCTGCTCCAAAACCTACATGCAGCTGCACCTGGCCGGCTGGTATACTGGTGAGGCATTCTAGGCGTCAGGGCAGCAGGTTGAAAATTCAGGGAACCTGGACTTTGGCAAATCCAATCCATCGCAGCTGCCCAGGCTTGAAACTGAGGAAGAATCACAGGCCGGATACAAGGCGCGGAGGGTTCCGAACAGCATTTCCTTGTGGATGAGCCTCGGGATTGAGGATCGACAGATAGTCAAGCCAAGTACTGGCAGATAGGATCGACAGATGGTCAAGCCAAGTACTGGCAGAAATCCAGGCCGAAGTGCAAAGAAACATCGCCGGACGGCCCTCGCTCAGAGGCTATGCATCCCTGTGACCTTGCGGGTACTTACGGCGGCATCCGGAGCCGCTTCCTCAGAGACAGGTTGAGCAGGCGGGCGATCCAACACGTTCTCGGGGGGCCAAGAAAACTGGACCGGTCGAGTTCTGTCCTTCTCTCCTTTCTTCTCGTGGCGGTTGCACAGTTCACGGAACTTTGACACACGCGCTTGCCGCGATGTCTTTTGCAGGAGTGCAGCCACTGTCTTGTCGCACCATTGTCCTCTAAGGCAAGTGGGCCGGAGGGGATGGCAAGGCAATCCAGAAGCCAATGCCCTATGACTCTTGGATGCTTTGGTAGTTTGGAGTACAGGGCATTCAGCGATGCAGCCGTGCAGTGCTAGGTGTTTGTTCATGCTTGTGGACGCAAGTGTCAGTGCGATTGTCGTTTGTAGCTTTGTTCTTACTTCTTACATGATGAGAGCGCCTGTTGGCATGCTTGCTTCATTGAAAAATCAACAAGAAGTGCAGAACAGTGAACTGGATGAAGCTGCCTGAACTTCACACATTCCGAGATATGCACAGCTCCAGAAGTGTAGATGCAGCACTCTCACACTTGAGACACGTCGTTATGAAATGACAAGATGTCCGACATGCTCAAAACTCGCACCTGCTCTGTGAATTCTCCATCTATTTCGTCACTGCATTGGCGAGTTCGGCAATCCAAAGCTACATTCCTGCCCAGAACGAGCTGATGGGTGGAGCACTCAGTCGCCTTTTCGAAGCTGCCTTGCGAAGGGAGGTTGAGAGGCTCAGGCAAGTCTTGACCCTCGAGCAGAGAACATGAGAATGCTATTGACGGTCTGAGCCACGATTGGATTGAAGGTGCATCAGTGCCACTGTCGGACTGTAGCTCGGGAGGATCCCCAAGTACGAAGGAAGGACTCAGTGTATGCGTATCACAACTCGTATCTCTGCGCAGTTGCGGGAGCCGCCAGCCTTCGTTCTTTCACACTGTACGTCTGAGGTTGCCTCGACCGATCCGGCGCTGTGGCCTTCAAGGGCCAGGAGGCGAGGAGATGAGATTAAGAGAAGGAGGAAGAACACCAAGATTGCGAAGTCAGCCTGTTCGATTACGCTCCACACACCAGTCGAAGCTTCGAATCGAGGGCGCTGCGTCGGAAACGTAGGGAGTCCGTCGTAACTCCCGGAGACTTTGGGAGCCAGCTGCCAGCTTCTCCTTGGGAGGTCTTCCGGCACCTGAACTTTCTCATCGAGGGCATGAACCTCCCTACAGCTATCGCAACCACGTGCTCTCGGCTTACAAATCCTAATGACCTAATGCCCCTTAGCCTCGATTCTCCCGCTGTTTGTAGCAGTGTCTTGAGCCTGCAATGGCCATGATCCCACCCAGCTTTGCCGCACTCTGTCACAGGCTGGTCACAGGCACTCGGGACTCGAGCTCTGAACCCGGGGTGTTCCCAGACGCCGAAATGCACAGGAACCTTTCTTCTTACATGCTTCATAGATCCATCTAAGCAAGGGGACGGCACAGCCTATTCACTTCCACCTTCTGCATACTGGAAACACAGAACGCGTGTTCTTCACAGTGTGTTCAGATGCCAACTGGTGTGCAGTGTGCACATACTGTACCTTGTACATTGTACAGCCTGCTAGCACTCTCTTATGTTTTGTGGTAGTCCGACAGCTCGCGACAGCGATTTGCATGCAGCTAGAGCGCAGGAAAGCTAGCACCCAAGCTCCTTCTCACCATCCATCCCGTATCCCCACAATACACGGCTTGTGGTGCTTGCTGAGGGCGTGCACTTTTTCACCGGAGATCATCACGTCTCCCATGGGCTTCGGAGCAAGCCGGGCGGCCAAGGGCAGCAGATGGTAAGGGTTGAGAGTGAAGACCGACGGTAGAGAATGCAGCGGCAGACTGGGACGAACATACCCGCGTGGCTGGAGACTTAACGCAGCTCGCACACTCGTGGAATTGCTCAGGCGCAGACTTGGCCGAAATTTGCAAGGGCATCGTCCATTCTGTTTATTCCGGCGTCAAGCTCCTCAAGGACCGATGACCGAAGTGACCGAAGCCCAAGCAAGCTCCGAGCCGCCTGAGCCTCGAAACGCTTCCGATACCGATCAAGGCCAATGTCGGAAAGTCGCGAAGCCCGGAGCTTAAGCCCGACCGAAGGCTTGTTGGACATTCGCGGTCTCTTTGCCAAAAGCTCCTCTGTTCTGTACTGCATGGGGTAATTTTGGACCGTGCTAAACTCCGTCACCGAACTTCGAATAAGTCCGAGACTATGGGTGGAAGGATGTGGAAGGAATCTGAGGCCAGGCTCGGGAGCCTGCGCAGCACGTCTCAAAGGAAACAAGGTCAGCACCTTCGACAAAACTCGTGTAGTCTGAAGCTTGTGACTTCTCGTCATGCTGTATAACGCTTAACAGACCCGGACCGTCGGAATAAAGCCCTGACCCTGCAGTACACGGGAGCGGAGATCCTGCGGAACCAAATCAGCTCAGCCGCTGGGTCAGAAGTGAAAGCCGAGTAGTTTGGGCCCTTGCAGGGTGCAGGTGACTCGTTGTGATTCGTGATGCTTCAAAAAAACGGAACAGACTCAACAGACTCTGAGGGCTGAGCCGAGGCGGCCTCGAAAGACTGCGCCGCCACACAGGCGAACTTCGCGAGGATGTTCTGCCACTCGGAGAAAAAATCGCTTCTTTCAAACCGCTCTTTCCGATGTTTTTTCTTCAATCCAAGCTGGTCCAAGCTGCGAGCCGCGCATCAAGGCGATGTTCACTGCGTCCGGGATGCCGTGATCCGAGGAGATCACCGCATCTGTTTCGATTGGCGTTCATTGCCGTAGCTGCCCTGGGCCGATGTGCGTTGGCGCCTGCGTTGCCTTGCAGGAGACAGAACCATCCTCCGCAACCTCAAGAAAGCCACGGTGGGGGCCTGTGCCTCCCCATGCCTCCCCCAAGCACGGCTACCTAGCTCGGTCTCGACCGAGGACATCACGAATGGCAACACTGCGAAGCTGGCCGTCTCTCGACCAAACTGTCATGGTTTTCGGAGAATGCTGATGTGACATCAGCTTCTGGGGATGCGCAGTCGCACTTGCATTTTCTAAATATTGCTAATGGTTCTCAAATACATCAATGCCAAAGCCGTCACCCTGCTTAAGCTGCTAGCCACAGCATCTGCAGAACTGAGACGAAAGACTTTACGCGCTACGCCAGTTTGCAAGCCCTTGAACCCCAAACACACAGATCCTCCAGCCAAGCGTCGGTAGGCCACGAAGCCCGCAATTGAGGAGTGGATTGTCAAAACTCAGCAGCTCGATGTTTCTTGGCTGGCGGAGACTTGCCTGAATTATCCTCCAAGTGCTGGTGCTCAAGAACTTCCGTATCATTTGCTACAAGTAGCTTTGTTTTGGACATGGTGGCATCTCCTGCGTGCTCCCATCAGGGAGGGCTTTGCTTCTCGCACCTCGGATTCGACCCAGTTCGTAGCGGCGGAGCTTCAACACTAGACATGCTAGCGCAAACTCCAAACAGCAAGAGAGCAAAGGGGCGAGGCCCTGCCTACCCGAGAACCATTTCAGGTGCACCGACAGCAAGAGTCCAAAACGTGCACCACGGTGTGGCACGCGCACGGGGCTGTGGCGTGGGCACGATCGCGAACTTCGGCAAACTCCTGTGCTCCTGAACATGAGCGACAGCAAAACCGCATCGAACTCAGCACTCCAGGAGTTGACTAAAGGCAGAGCCAAATTCAGCCAAAGCCGCATCTACAACAGGAAGAACATCCCCTTGGCGTGCGGCACTGCCTGAAGCTCAAAGGAATCACCCCTCACGACCTGAAGGGGGAAGTGGTGTCGCATTGAATGGGAGGAACATGCATAGTCAGGTAGCGGGATACCTGTAGTGGGCTTGGAACACAGCTTGGCTGGGGCAGAGAATGAGAGCGAGATAAAGTTGGACAGAGACAGGCGAAGGTTTCAAGTGATTTCTGCCCATGGTAGAGATGTCACGCCGCCGGTCTTTGCCTAACTGTGGTAATTCCGAAGAATAAAATCCAGAGACGAACACCCCCTGCAGGAGAAGATTGATCACCAAACCGTGGTGCAAAACCTTGCGCCTCGGCAGATCTCGGTCTGTGGCCATTGCGACTACAGTCGTCTTCAGCCGTAGAATCAACGTGATCGAAGCCTGACGCCCTGATCCCTCTCGTGGCGATCCGGGATGGAGATTTTGAGGGGCAAGTTGGCCGTCCGTTTTTGCACAATCCTGAATTCACAGACGAAGACTGTCACGGGTACTAGAACTGTCCCCGGCCCCGTAGCAGACCCAACGCAGGACTGATCAGAGCCGCCAGGATTTCATGCATACCCAGGGAACGAGCCTCAACTGGGTTCGGTTGCGCATTCGGTTTTGCTGCGACTCAAGTCAAAGTCTCAGACGTCACGGGTGATGTGCAAGGATGTGTCGCGCTTGACAGGAGAACACGAAGCAGTTCACCAACATCAAGGAGCTCCTCGCAGGCCGGGGCCTTGGCGGGAGTCATCGAAGATGCAACAAGTGCTGAGACTGAGATCATAAATTCTACTCGCTTTCGGCAAACACTCATTCATGGGTGTTTGAGGCTCCTTTGTTGAGGCCGTCTCATGTCATGGCTGACAGCCGGGATTGGTTTCGGTGCAGTGCTTCGGGCAACTTCTCCTGACAGCTGAAGTTATAATTATCAGTTGCAGCAGAGCCTAAGAGTAACGCAGGCGCATGCGAATGAATTTTAATTACTCTTTTCTAGAATTGGGCAACACCCGCACAATGCGAGAGAAGAAGAACAAGATGGCCTAGAGGACTACAGGCAATCGTAGCCACGATATGTGTCATCGTGCCGTTGTTATGTGCTTGGTTGTCCTGAGGTGGAGACAAGAAGGAGCTCTTCCTGGCGATCAAGCCACATTGCAGCATCCGGTCCACTGAGTCTGCTTCCTTCGCCGCTGCTTAGCGAC